GCATGGAGGCTGTTTCAGATTCTCTCCCTCTCTCTCTGTGGCTCCCCCCACCAGTGCACTCTGCCCCTCCCCATCCTGCACATGTGTGCATGTGCCCTCTCTCTCTCCAAAAAGTCTAAAATAAGATGGAAGGAATTAAATTATACCAATGATCACAAAGCCTATAAATGAACTAAACACTCCATTTAAGAGATAGATTAAAAAGGTGAATTTCTTAAAAACCTGTCAATGTTATTTTTATAGGGAACATATCAAACATGAGGATACACATTGAATGGCAAATAATTTTTTAAATGCATAAGCTAAATAGAAATTTGGTGTGGCTATATTTTTATCAGAAGTCCTTTTTTTGGGGCACAGAAAGCATAATCAGAGATAAGTATGATCACTTTGTATTAAAGCTTCATTCCCTAGGAAAATATATGCATTTAAATAAAGCAGCTTCAGGATATATAAAGCAAAAATCGACAAACTACAAGCAGAAATGGACAGATCAGCTATTATAGGGGAGATTTGAACTTCTCTTAGAAATTCATGGATCAAGCGGATAGTAGAAAATGTGGACAACACAATTAACCAGCTTGATCTAGTGACACATGGAGAACGCTGTAGCCAACAACTCAAGATTCCATATTCTTTATACATATTCTTAAGCACCCATGGAACATTTAAAAATTAAGAACAACAAAATAAGTCCAAACAAAATGTATGTTGGGAAAAAATAGAAATAAGCACAGAAATCTGTAAAACAGAAGACAAAGAAATTTCGTGAACACCAACAAAAAACATATGGCTGGGAGTGGCATGTAGTAGGCACTTCATAAACATCTATCTGTTCGATGAATAAAAAGCAATAGAAAACTACATGAGTGTACACGAAAAAGTTTGAAATTCACCAAATAGTGATGAAATCTGAGTTGGGCAGTGTTAGGTTATCCTGCTTTTACTCTTTGTTCTTTTCTGTATTTTCTGAGCTCTCTGTATATGTTGCCCTTACAATTTTATGAAAACACATTATTTTAAAATAAAAACAAATAGATTTTTGAAGAGATGGGCTAGAGAGGATTAAACGTCCTTGCTGCCACCTCTGGTCAGTGGGGTGAGGCGGTGCAGTGTAAAGACTGGACTTTGGAGGTGCTTCACCCCTCACTACATGGGTGACTTTAAACATAATCCCTTTGAACCCATTCTCCAAAGTGGCAAAAAGAAAGCCTTCCTCAAAGAATTATTCAGATAGGTGACCCCGTGCAAAGCACTTAGTACAGTGTCTCATACTGTAGCTGTTCGATAGCCCTGTTCCTCTCCCTGCTTGAGGAAGCAGGCTTAGGGAAATATTTCTCTCCATTTCTGAGGAATGTACCCTGAGTGCAAGGCAAATTTGATCAGTCTGGAATATGAAACTGGATGAAAGCTTAGTATGTGAAATTATATTTGTGCCCTCCTGGAGAGCCAGGAAAATTAAGACACGAACCAAGAAATTCATCCCCTTTATTAGATGTAAGAATGAAGGTGCAGTATTATCATTTCCTTGTGATAGTCATATCTAATAGTTCTGAAACCAATTCACAGTTTTCATGTCAGACTTATTTTATGAGACATTTAACCATTGCTAAATTAAATTTCATAGGAGAATGTGCCTATATAACTCCTCTGGAGTTAGAGATAGAAATCGGACCCATCATTTCTATTTTCACGGAAAACCATTTAGCAGAACTTTGCTCCAGTAGAAGTGTTTATTGAGTTGTAAGCCTAGCACAGTTCATTGGCTGCATGTATTTCCACACTGACATTTTTCTCAGTGCAGATTTGCATCAGTTCATTAGTACTGACAGCAGATGGTAGCACTTTCACACAAATTTACCTTCTGAATTGATCTAAGAAATGTCACTAAAAAGATCCTGACAGTTTTGATGTTCTTCCATTTCTGAAAATGGTATGTTAAACAAATAAGGTGTAGGATTTTAGATTTTTTTGAACTCCAGCACATAATTCCTAAACCAAAAATGAAAGACGGCTTTCATCTCTGATTCTGGCTGTCTGAAGCCTGAGCCTTAAAAAATCCAGATAGCATGAGCCTTAAAAAATCTCCATTGTAGAAAAATGGCTTTTGGAGAATATTATCCAGATTGATTGTCTACACTAATCAGATGGCTCAAATTATTTGTAAATTCTCTACTTTGCTTTGAATACAAATTGCTTGGCTTGCAGAAGTAGTGGATTGAATGTGACCGAAAACATAGTATTGGCTCAGGTCATAAGGCTAACTTTGAATTCCGTCACTTCCGCAGAATTAAGATATCCCTAAGATTAGCCACATTTTAAAACTACGGATCCTTTTGCCTTTAGTTAGGGTTAAGTCATTATAAAATTATCAGGCAGGAAAACTTAATATTTGCTAATTGAATGAATGCGGGTGTATATGAATTCTAATCACATTGGGGAAACTTTTTATTTTTCTACATTAAATAATCATTATTATATTCATAATAACTAAGGTCTGTATTCAGTAGTCTTACATATTTAGAAACAAGGATTTTGGGGTATTTTAAAATTAATTTTCCATCTGTATTTGAAAAGTAATTAATGGTTTGGGTAATTTGCCACAACTAAGAGGAGCTGTTATATTTGAGAAAGCATTGGCTGTTGGCCATATACAGTTTAACCATGGAGGTGATTATGGATGTTTTTGACACATTGCTAGAAGAGTGGTCATGATTAACAACATACTTAAGGGATTTATTTAACAAGAAGAAGGAGCTTTTGGGTTCCAAGTCCTCTCAAAATCAAGGGACCCTTTTTATTTTATTCATGGCACTTATTATTATTTGGATTATCTTGTTTCTTTATTTGTTCTATGTATTTATTGGCTGTCTCTTGCACTGGCATGTAAGTTCCATGGGATCAGGGACTTTATTTCTGAGATATAGTGATCTCTATGACTATATGCAGAACTGTTCCTGGCAGACATGTAAGAGATGATCAATAGATATGTGTTGAATTAATAAACACTAGTTTAAGGCAGGTAAGAGGAGCCAGAATTAAGCCGGGCTGGAGGACTTGCCTTAGGCATAACACATTTGGTTTGTGACCCTAGGGTTGGTTTAGGGATAAGCGGCAGGGGGTAGGGAAAGAGCAGGAAAGAGGGAGCCCAGGCTCTGCTGTAAGAGTCAGGCCACCGGGCAGACTCTGGAAGTGGCACTTGGGAGACATACACCAACCCACACCCAGTGGATACCTCAACCCTCATCATGTATATGCATCCCCAAATATCCACACCCAGTGTCTCCAATACACAGTGGAGGTGCCTCCAATTTCCTGTGAGTAGGTTTGTGCACATTCACACAGACGTGAGTGTTTTGGGGTTCGAGGCTAGAGTTAGCAGCAACAACCACATGTAATTCTTTCCAGGGATGCTCTGAGTTCAGCTCCTCCTTGGACCAGCTGAGAAGAGGAGAAGATGCCAAGAGAAGTTAGGTCCCTAGTCCAAATCCAGCCAAGAGGCTTGTTTTATTTGGCCCAGTCTGTGTTTTTTTTTTTTTTTTAAGTGCCAAAATTTAAATTTAGGAAGTTTTACATAAAAATCTGGATTCCTAGGCTATTTTGACAAATGGGAAGACCTGGCACACGGAACCTGCATTCCCACATGGCACAATTGGCTGGAGCAGAGTAGCAATCATAGTCTTGGCTGAGAGCACCCTCTGGTCCCCCATAGTCCCTGTCACCTGCTGGTGTATTCAACTGACCTTGCTCCTTCAGGTCACCTGCACAATCTCTGTAGGCATTTGTCTTAGATTGCTTGGGAAGCTATAACAAAATACCACAGACTGGGTAGTCTATAGACAACAGAAATGTATTTCTCACAATTCTGAAGTCTGAGCTCAGGGTGCCAGTCTGTTCTCATGAGGGCCCCCTTTCAGGTCACACACTTCTTGTTGTGACCTCACGTGGCAGAAAGGGGTGAGCTAGCATTTGGAGGTCTCTAAGGTCCTAAATCTCATTCCTGAGGGCTCTACCCTCCTGACCTAATCACCTCCCAAAGGTCCCACCTCCTATAAGACCATCACCTTGGGCATTAGAATTTCAATATATGAATTCGGGGAGATACAAACATTTAGACCATAGCAGTATTTGCAGTTGCAGTCTTTGGCATAATGGCGAATCCACAATGTAAACGATCAATAAATTTATTGTCAATAATTGCTTTTGCGTCAGTACAATTTGTGCGAGGTCACTCCCTACAGGAAACCTCCTAGGGCTCCCCATTGTTTGACAAATGATGTGCATCTCCCTACCCTGGCAGCGAGCTGACCTGTATTTCTATGCAGTCATTCTCTTATAAAGGCAGTGGAGTTCCAGCGAATGGGCTTTTGACTTCCAGAAACAGCCCTATAAGCTTGGGAAAGACAGAAGGATAGAAACAGATAAACAGAGGAACTCAGGAAGACAGACAGAAGTACAACAATTTAAATAATGCAGGCCATTCTCCTGCCTCATCCCCCTGCCATTCTACCCATGGAACATGTGCTTCTTGGCACTGCAGTCAGGCTCGAAACAATCAACATAGTGGCCAAGTTTCTGCAAAAAAGTGTGCGAAAGATTTTGTTCCCCTTGCAGAGAGGTGAATGAAATACGTTGTTCAAATGGTCAGGCTTTTGGGCTTCGCAGACATCCCTGAGGAAAAACTGGGGAATAATTATAAGCCGAAGGGAAACACCAGTTGACAACGAATTTGAGGGAACTGATACAATGGATCTATAATTCGTATCGTGTAAACAAAACCATGTGCCCTCCTCCCCTTGAATGTACTGCTTTATCAATTCGTAACTCCTCTCCAGCTTTTTCTCATGTTTGGATTATGAATTATATTTCAAAACTGAAAGTGATCTGTATCTTAATTTAGTAACTTGGACAAACTTTTATTTTAACAAACCAGATTGTGTGTTTTAACTTTTTCAAAGTAATTCACACTGGCAATCCCGGACCAACTCTGATTTTTACAGGAGCATCCAATACTTGGGCAACCCTTTTTTGTACTTCATCCCTGCAAGACGAATGAATTCATGACTCCTGTATTAAAGAATTCTCGAAAATTCAATAGGTAAGAAACATCATCAAGATACATTGGCTTTTACTCTTATTTTAAAAATGTAAATCTTTTTATGTGACTCTAAAAGCTAAGCTAAAAAAGAAATGTTTTTTGTAATAATAGTAATGGCTAACAGTTGTTGATTTTTACTGTGTGCTAGGCACAGTTCTAAGTATTTTAGATAATATTAATACATTGGATTTTTATAACACCCCATGAGCTAAGTTGCATTATTTTACCCAGTTTACAGAGGAGAAAGCTAAAGCACAGAGAGGTTAAATGACTTGGCCAAGTTCACACAACTTGTTCAGTGGTAGAACTGGGATTTGAACCTGGGCATTTTCGCCTAAGAGCCATGCTCTTAACCACTACACTCTGCTACCTTAGCAAATGCCGTAAATTTTAAGTGTCAAATTGGAATCATCAAGAGGAGTCAGGAGTCTTAATGCCTTGACTCCCCCATTAACTACCTCAGTCTCTTTGGCCCTCAAGTCCCTGTCAGGCAATGGAGCTGACATTTGGAAATGCTGGGATTCCACGTGGTGGGCACACACCTTTGAAGATAGCTCGTCTCTTCTGTTGGTAGTGATTTTCTACCACACATCCAACATTAGAATTGCCTGTATTTTCACTTGTTTCCTAGGAGTGTCAATTATATCACATCATGGCTGAGCATCGTAGGACCAGTTGTTGGGCTAAATCTACCTCTGAGTTATGCCAGAACAGCCTCTCAGGATGAATGAAATGTCACTTGACAAGGTAAAAAGGAAAGCCTGCACTGAATGTTTTGCTATTATAAAGATCCTGTTGTCTCTGTTGTACTTGGGGTCCCTACTGGCCCCATCACATATTAAGTCTTCTTTCGTCTTTAATAGACTGAATATGAACTGTTTGTTTAGGTTTCCAATCAACCAGTGCCCAAGCATTTGGGAAGCATTGGACTTTGCTATAATAACACTCACCCAACTACAGGAGTGGAGGACTTTATTTCAGAATTGTTATTCTTGAAATAAGTCTTTACTGTTCAGTTAACCTTCTTTTATTCTCTTAGCTTTTGTTTTGTTCTTGTTCTTCATTTTCTTCTTTTGAGCCAAAGACCTAGAAATTGCGGCATGAAGAACACCAAAAGTGTACCTGGCCAGCTCTGGTTTTAATAGGACAAATACCGTGCGATAGTTCAACTCACCAAGATTTTGACATGGATTTATTTTTCCATTGGAAGCAAATGTCTGCAGTAACTGCTATGCTGTATCCCTCATCTGGAAGAATTGTTGGTTTGGAGTTGCTTGCTTTGTTTTTCATTTTATCTTGCTAGGGGCTGAAACTAAGACAAAAATGTAGTTGTCTCTTTAAAGAATCTAGATTAGTGTCTATCGATGAGGGATGCATTTTAGGGTCACCTGAGGATCTTTTATGATTCAAGTGCTGGGGTCTACTTCCTGCAACAGCCTCTCTGGGGTAGTTCTGACACACCTGCTTCTGGAGAACCTCTGGTCTGGATGTACCTTTAGTGTGGTATTTATTTGTTTTGTTTTGGTCTCCCAACAGGCCTTTTCCAATTCTGTGTATCACTCCAACAAGCTGGACTTACTTTCTGACATTTGTCTGGGCATTGCCCTGAGCCTCCTGGTTGTTAAGAATATCCAGGAGACGTGTGTTCACGAGGCAGGCCACTCAGAGGAAGCAGTCAGGGAGAAGGGGTTATCGGCTAGCCAATTACAGAAGACAGTGCCCGCACTTTTAGTCTGTAGGTTCAGGGCTGAGCTCTCACACATGGAGCAGAAGTAGAGAACGGGTTAATTCAAACTGCTAGAAAAGCTAAAAGTAAATTTTAAAATGCTGAGCTGCACATATTCATGCTGGGATGAGAGCCTGCTTACATGCTTGCTGGGCATTTTGGTATTTACCACTTAACATCTTTTCAACTTCTGCAGGGATTTCCGCCCCCCCCCAATGTAAACACAGATTTCTCAGCAAGTCATTTCTCAGACCATGTCATTTCTCGAGTAAAAAAAAAACTAAATAAATTATAATAATGTGTCATCTGGATGATGTACTTGTCTGGAAATAATAGTTATCCTTTGCTAACGGATTCTGAGATGATAGTAGTCGATCACTGTAGGGACAGTGTGTAGGTTTTTTTTTTTGGTGTTGGTGTTGTTGTTTTTAAATTAATTTTTTTTCTCTGATTGATGAAGACCTTAAAATTCATCAGTAGCAAGAAAAAGTCCTGAAAAGCTCTTATAGGTTCTAGAGACCTCCCTCCTCAGATAGATCCCTCTCCTCAGGCCGCTCTGTTTCTTTTCAGAATATTTGGCACTTAAAAAAAACCACACATTTAATTTTTGGTTGACAAAAATTTCCATTTTTAAGAATGCAGCTATATAACAGACTGTTATCCCAACAGTTATAAAACATTAGAAAATATTTTGTTTTCTCAAAGTAACGGTTCTTACTCTGCAATACGAGGATTTTCCCTCCGGGTTTCTTCTCCAGTTAATATAATGCAAAACCCCTTCAATCAGAAATAAGGCTGGTTAAAGCTGCTTCCAGCCAATATCCTAAACTCTGCTTTTGTGTAGCCTTGGAAAACTTACTTCACCTCTTTGGTCCTCGGCTGTGTGATTTGTGAGAACAATTGCAATTCTCGGGTCTGTGAAATCGAAGTGTAGAGATCTAGACTGAGTTTGGTTAGCTGCTAGCTGCGTGACTTGGGCTAGTTTTCCTAATCTTCTTTAGTCTTTTACCATTTCTGTTTGAAGAGTCCCATAATATCCACCCCCCTCACCTAACCAGATCAGGGAGGAGATCAAAATGGTAAGTCAACCTGAATGTGCTTCATAACCTGCACAATGCCATATGGAGAAAGAGGCGTGAGGGATAATTGGCCCCAGCTCCTGCTCAGCGCCAGCACACCTTCTCCCTCCCACCTCATTTCAGGCCTGATTCCTCCCAACACGCATGGGCCCCACATCCTTATCTGACTGGTTCATGCTGGCTCCCACCTGGAAATGCTTCCTTCTCCATCTCTCTACTCAATTCCCAACCTACTCTATAAAATTCACTCTTACAAAGCCATCTCTGACCACCACAGCCACCACTGGTCAGCCTCTCCTTTCATTATTTACTATACTTAGTCACATTAGCATTTCATTGTCTCCCTTTCACTCTGATTTCTTCCTCTCCTTAATGATGGGTAGTAAGTACTGACCCAATTTTTTTTTTTTTTGCTATGTTGTAAAGGTGGCATGCACAGAAGAGTTGCTGTCTGTCCCTTGGAAGTGATCCAGGGAAGTAAGGCTCTCAGTCCAAGGATTTGAGTGGGTGGGTGAGAGGCCGTGTTGACCATTTGGTACTAGCTTACAGACCGGGAGCTAAAAAAACAAAGTTAACCATCCTCCTAACACAGATGTATTAGAATAAAGAGGAAAAAAGGATGTTAAAATTGGGTTTTTGCATCCGTTTTTCCTGAGAATAGGTATAGTTCTTCATGCTCTCAAGATATGAGGAAATGGAGGTCTGCATTGTCATAACCAGCTCTTACATAATTCAGAGAGCTGATATTCCAGTGAGTTGGGTTTTTTGTTTTTTTTATGATTAAAATATGAGAGTAAGAATATGCAGATATTCACTCCACCAGCTACCTATTGAGTTCCTCTTACATACTGAGCCCTAGGCTAGCTGCCAGGGATGGTAAGTGGAAAGACATAACCCTGGCTCATAAGAATGCCACAGTCCAATGAAAAGACAGACAAGAAGATTCAGGGACAGAAGGATGTGTGCTGTGGCAAAGGTGTGCAAAGGAAGCATGCAGGAAGATTTGTAGAAGAGGAATGTGAGTGGAGTCGTGAAAACCTTAGGATTTAGCCAGGTCAAGAATGCAGGAAAGACCTTGAAAATGCATAGGGAAGTGGTCAAGGGTGAGGCTGGCTAGCAGGACTGGGGCTAGGTCTGGAGAAGATCGATTGCCACACTGAGAATTTGTATTTGGTCTAAAAACCAGAAAGAGCCACTGAGGGAATTCAGGTAGAGGAGGTGAAGTGATCACATTTGCATTTTAGAAAGATACTATATTTTTAAAATGACTCTTGCATGTAACTAATCACACATACACTGTCAATTTTTTCACCAGCAGGTTCTGGCCCACAGGCTTTAGAAGGTACGAGTGCAGAAAGGGCTGGGAGTATGCCAAGGACATTTTTCAATTTTTGCCTAGGGCCTTCCAAAACAAAACTTATCAGTGTCCTGAAAAGCCTGCGTCCTGGCTGTGTTACCTGGGGCAAGTCACTCCACCTCTCTGAGACTCTCTTTCCTAATGTATTAAATAGAAGGAAGTGTATTAAATCAAGTAAAATCCAGTTATTAGTTTATGACCTATATATATATATATATATGTTTATGAAATAGAATATGTCTAGGAAACGCTCCCTGTGTGTCTTCTTTACTCTCACACTACACACACAACACTTCTGACTCTAGATGTGTGGATTTTTCACACAACAAACAATTCTGCAGTACCAGCTGGGGTCCTACAATTCAGTTCTGACACTATCAATCTGGAGTTAGGATCAAAGCCTGTAAGTTAAGACCTAAGTCCCACAAGACTGCCCCACTTTAAGACCCCAGTCACAAGTCCCAGATTATCACCTGTGTTTCTAACTGACCAACTATGAACCAGGGTTACCATGACCCCCTCCTTGCGTTCATTAATTTGCTAGAATGGCTCGTAGCATTTAGGGAAACACTTATGTTTACCGGTTTATTATATAACAAAGGACATGTTAAAGAATACAGATGAATACCCAGATGAAGAGCTACATAGGGCAAGATTCAGAGGGTCCCAAGAACAGGAGCTTCTGTCCCCATGGCGTTGGGATGTACCACCCTCCTGGCATATAGATGTGTTCACCAGCCTGGAAGCTCTCTGAACCTCGGACTTTGGGGATTTATGGAAGTGTAATCACATAGGCATGAATGGTCATTAACTCTACTTCTAGCCCCTCCTCTCCCTTCCTGGAGGATGGGGGACAGGGCTGAAAGTCCGAAGCTTCTAATCAGAGCTAGGTCTTTCTGAAGCTATTCAAGAGCCCACCAAGAGTCACCTGCTTAGAACAAAAGACACTCCCATCACCCAGGAAATTCCAAGGGATTTAGGAGCTCTGTGTCAGGAACCAGAATCAAAGGCCAGGTATTAGAAGAGATGCTCCTCATGCTCTTATCACTTAGGAAATTAGAAAGTTTTTAGGAGCTCTGTACCAGGAACTGGGGGCAGAGGGCAGAGACCAACATGTGTATGTTCTATTATTTTACAAATACATGGGGGAAAATCACATAATAAGGATATTATTTTCTGAAACTTTGGTTTCAGATATATATATATAATCTGTTTATATGGGTGTGTACGTATTTGCACATGTGCATACTAACTGGTGATGTAAATATATTTCTAACTCCAGGGAACAGGGATTTGAAAACTGGTGGACAAATAAGCTGCCTTCCAATTCTGAGATCCTTTGATTCCCCCCTTTTACTGCTGGCCAATAAGTTGCTGAGGGTTGTTCTAGAAGGATATAGGCAGTACTTAACTACTATTGTGCCCATGGCACTGAGATACTTAAATATGCACGTAGGTCCTTTTATAGGGCTTGTCTGTAAAAATGCTTTCACATTTTTATCCTTAAATGCTGTGGTGTTCTTTCAAGCAGTACTGTAACATAAAGTCCTTGCTTTTAACTTTTGTATTGTCAGTAGCAACACCT